GCCGGATGAAGGTGTACATGCTCATCTCAGATAATGATGCTATGTGAGTGTGACACACACTGCTGGGTTAGTGAGGATGTTAGGATAATAAAGCCTTATTGGTACATGCTGGAAGACTTAATCCTGATCATGGCGTGGAAATCACGGCTAAGCAGAAGCGGAAAAGCCAGTCTTAAATGCTTTTCCTTTTCAAGAAGGCAGCTAAGGTGCCCAGATATCTTTGCCCTCCAGGGGTGCAGGTGTGTGGTTTAATTCTTTAATCATTCACATAAATTAAGGCTTATTCCTTTGCATTTTGAAAATAATATAAGACAACAGTCTCCATGTTTTATTGCCAAGCAAGAGCTTTGAACTTCAGTCTCATTGAAGTTTGATAAACTGTGAAGGTTTTCCAGGGGTGGGCGGGACACTTAACTACAGAGCAAACACTGGGCTGATAAGAGCTGCAAAAGAAGGAACCTACTAAGGAGCAGCCAATAGGGAGAGTTTTATACTTGGCTGTTGGCTGGTGAACAGTTCTCACCTGGAGGAGGCTTTCCCTATCTCTGTCCTTAGCTTTTTCCCTTCATTCACAGATAAAAAGAGCAGCAGAGCTTTCTGTTTTCACTTTGTGGAACTGGGAATGGGCGGGGTAAATACTTGTGGTAGGGTGGTTCTGTGTAAGAAACTTTGAAATTTGGAGACAAGTTATAACTTCCCACAAATGCTGATTGGCATGCAGCTGTGGACAGGACATAAAGATGACACACGTGCATGCTCACACATGGCATGCACACACAGGCATAAAGGCGTACACATGATTCACATAGACACAAATGGACCACATCTCTCAGGTGATTTTACTGTTAATCTGCCTTTGTGCTTAAGTAAAATAAACTGATAACTGATAATAAAGTGTTAGTAATAAGGCACGTGTTAAGAAGCATAGATTCTTGAATCAGATCTTGGTTTGAATCTTTGCTGATATTACTACTAGCTATGTAATCTTGAACAAGTAAATTCTGTTATCTTTTTTTTGGGGGGGGGGGGGGCCGGGCGTGGGGCCTGAACTCTGGGCCTGGGCGCTGTCCCTCAGCTCTTCAGCTCAAGGCTAGTGCTCTACCACTTTGAGCCACAGCGCCACTTCTGGCTTTTTTCTTTTTGCTTATGTGGTGCTGAGGAATTGAACCCAGGGCCTCATGCATGCAAGGCAAGCACTCTACCACTGAGCCACCTTCCAAGCCCCTCTGTTATCTTATTTTAAAAATAGAAATATAGAAACATTTCTCATAGGATTGTTGTCAAAGTTAAGAAAAACAATGCATATAAAACAATTAGCACGCTATCTAATGTGCAGTAAATTGCACAGGGGATCAAAAATGGTACTTGTTCTTTATATCCAGTAATCTAAATATCTGTCTGGCAGGTGAATGTTTAATAGATTTGCTTCTCTAATTTTCTGTTTCCCTTTTTCAATGTGAAATCTTTCGAAAAAATTTGTCTTTTTCTCTTTGCTCCTAAGAGGACAAAAGTACTTTGATCTAACTACTCTGAAAACATTTCCTGTGTAAAGGAATTTTATATTGACTTTAGTCCCTGGAGCTAGGGAGAAGAAGCAACAGGTTTGCTTCTCAGTTGATTTCTTTCATTTCCACCATCAAAGGAAAAAAAAAAAAATCTTGTACTAGCTTTAGGTAGAGGAAAGTCATCAAAAGGCCACATCACCTTGGGAAGAAGTCTTTGTAAGATCAGTGAAAGTGGGTAGAAGAAAGGAAGGAGAATGCAAAGGTGGAAATATAGCTGATTTTAACATTGTTATGGCATAGTTTTCTTTCCACTTTAGTTTAGACTTAGTTAACGACTTCGTTTTGGTTATTGGTATTTGGGAAAAGTTAATGTCAGAAATTGATGTGTATTTACTTATAGCTTTACTCTCAGTTTTAGCCTTCCCTCCTTTTCTCCCTCTCCTTTTCCTCCCTCCTTTCTCTTTCTCCTACCCCTCCCCCCACCACCTTTTTTTTATGCTGGAGGTTTAACTGGAGGCCTTACACAGACTAAGCACAAACCCACCACTGAGCTACACCCTTAGCTTCCAGTTCTGGCCATTTTTTAGAAAGGTGATTTTTTGGTGGGATAACTACTCAGAGGATAGGCTGGGCACCAGTGGCTCATGCCTGTGATCCTAGTTACTCAGGAGGCTGATATCTGAGGATGGAGGTTCAAAGCCAGCCCAGGCAGGAAAGTCAGTGAGACTCTTTATCTCCAATAAACCACCAGAAAACTGGAAGTGGTGCTGTGGCTCAAGTGGTGGAATGCTAACCTTTAGCTGAAGAGCTGAGGGACAGAGCCCAGGCCCAGAGTTCAAGCCCCATGACTGATGAAAACAAAACAAAAACTACTCAAGAGGATGTTTTCACATCTTTTGTGGGTGGGGTGGGCTGTGTGAAGAGCGCAATGCTAGACAGTTGCTAATCTTGGAAGCACTCTTTGTATAGATGGGACAGTCATGGAATGTAAACATGTTACTCTTCTGGCCCTCAGGTTGATACGTACATGGTGAAATCCTAGGGTCACCACAATTACTGTTGTGAGCTGGAAACTCATTGAGCTTAGCTTGGTAGAGAAACTTACTTATTTTATGAACTTTACTAAACTACGAGGATCAGGAATGGTTTTTTGAAGCATCTATTAGGAGTTGAGGGTCAAGGCCTAGCACAGGCAAGGTACCCTGGGTTCAATCCTTAGCATCCATTTTTATAAATTTTGAGCATTTCCTCAAATGCTCAAATGAGTGAGCCTGGGAACAAGGAAATGTCCACTTTGACAGCAACTTCTTCAAATTGATTTGGGGCAGTATATTCATTATTTGAGGAATTTGGTTCTCACTCCAGAAGGGAATATTTTGCTGCATTTTTCTCTGTAAATGTGCTATCATGCCATTATCATACCTAAAGATAAAACTCACAGGAGGGAAGACTCTTATACCTTTTTTTTTTTTCCCCCTAGAGCTGTGGACTGAACTCAGGGCCTTGCACTTGTCAGGCAAGTGCTCTTCCACTGAGCTAAATCCCCAATCCCAAGACTTTTAAGGAAATACAACAAGCATTTATAATGCACTGGGCATTGTGGAAGTTTACATTCATTATTTTAATTTTTCAGCTGGGACAGTTAGCAAGCCATATTATCGTCCACACATTTCACAGAGGAAATAGGCTTGAAGGAGAATTTGCTCAAGGTCACAGTAGAAAATGGTAGGTCTGGGAATGAACTGCAAAGCCCAAGTGCTCAAGCAGTTTTTTTCTTTCTTTTTTTTTTTTTGTATTTTTATTTTATTTATTTATTTTTAATTGTGAAAATACCATACAGAGGAGTTACAATTACATGGACAAGATAATGACTACATTTCTTATCAAGCATTGTTGCCTCCTCCTTTGTTTCCCCTTCCTATCCCTTCCCATCTTCCCCACCTTTCCCCTCCTCAAGAAGTTTTTCTTAAACTTCAGAATATACAAGAAACTCCAAAGGTACTCATTAAAAAAAGTACTGGGTTCCAGTTAGAAATTCTAGATTAACTCAATCTAGAATGGTGCCAGATTACAAATTTTAGACCAGGCACTTGTGGCTCATGTTTATAATTGTAGCTACTCAGAAAACTGGGGATCATGGTTTGAGTTAGTCCAGGCAGTCAAATCTGAGAAACTGTTATCTCCAACTAACAAGCAAAAAGCTGGAATTGGAGATGTGGCTTAAGTGAGATCATCAGCTGTGAGCAAAAGGCTGAGCAAGAGTTCAAGGCTCTGAGTTTAAGCCTCAGTACTGGCTCTAGCTGCGCATGCACATGCACACGTGTGCGCGCGCACACACACACACACGCATATCTCCATTTTTTTTTTTTTTTGGGTCTGGTCATGGAGCCTGAATTCTGGGCCTGGGCGCTGTCCCTCAGCTCTTCAGCTCAAGGCTAGCGCTCTACCACTTGAGCCATAGTGCCACTTCCGGCTTATTTCTTTTTGCTTATGTGGTGCTGGGGAATCGAACCCAGGGCCTCACGCGTGCAAGGCAAGTGCTCTACCACTGAGCCACCTTCCCAGCCCCACATCTCCATTTTTTAACAGGGCCTCTTGTGATCAAAGAGTTAAGTTGATTGGGTAGAATTAAGTGATATGGCTTTCCACACTTGACAAACAAGAAAAAAAATCTGTAGATTAAATAACTATCCATGATTAAGCTACAATAGACAGCCATGATTCAAACCCAGGTCTATCTAATATTCCCATTATTAGACGCCTATTAATTTAAAGTTTCAAAATTCCAGTTATTAACACATATTATTTGGTTAATTGCACAAATGAGTTGTTTACTTTGACATCTCAGTACATGTATATATCATGCATTAATCTCTGTTCCTCTACCCTCTCCGCATTTCCTTCTTCCCCTAACTCTCTTAGTAGTCCCTCTTGTAATTTCAAGTCTTTTCTTTTTTAATTTGCATATATGGGAGAAAACATGTGATACTCTTCTTTATGTGTCTGGCTTATTTTGACAAACCCATGATTGATCTACACATTTCTCAAGCACAACAAGTGCAGAAAAATACATGTAAAAATTGAGCCATTGTTTACAAGCTCTTGGCATTTACCAAGGTTAATAACTTAGATATAAGACATAGTCCTTAAATGTTTTTTGTGAACTTTTTAAATGAAAAAACTGCTTTATCTTTGTAATCAGAGACATGTAAAGGATGGAAGGAGTAAGGAAAGAGCCAGTAGGTATATCCCTAAGGGAATTAAAACTCTTCTTGATATTGAGACTGGCAGTCAGATGGCAGTAGGTCATGCTCTTCATCATCTTCTGTCCTGCCTTTGAGTCATAGCTCACTGAAGACAAATTTGATTTGCCTTTCAGTCCACTTGCCAGGGCAGAGATAACCCATTGATTGACTAACATGGCCTCTTACTGGGATTGTGAAAACACTTTTTTCCTTTCTCATTTTCTCTTTCTGTCTTGTTTTGTCTTTGCAGCTCAGCGACATGTCCTCACATACATGGAGGATGCAGTGTGCCAACTACTAGAGAACAGGGAAGATGTTAACCAGTATGGCATTGCCAGGTTCTTCACTGAATAGTAAGTACATAGGGCAAACCCAAAAGTGATACGTGGAAGTAGGGTAGGGCATGTGAAGAATATGGTAGGATGGTGATTATTATGCAGTGGCAATGAATGCTTACTTTTGGTGGGCTGCTTCAGGTCTGCCTGACCGGTTTCAGAGTATGCCTTTGGTGTAGCTAGGTTGTTCAGTGATGTGGTCCCCAAGTGGGCATGTCTATCAGAGCCTAACTGCTGCCTTTTGATCTATTAAATATGTTTTATTCAGTCCATCTTAGAATATTTTTTTGTCAATCTTGTGGCTTAAACTCAGGGCCTGGGCACTGACCCTGAGCTCTTTGGTTCAAGGCTAGCACTCTACCACTTTGATCCACAGCTCTATTTCTGGGTTTTGAGTGGTTAATTAGAGGTAAGAGTCTCATGGGGACTTTTCTCTCCAGGCTGGCTTTGAACCATGATCCTCATATCTTGGCCTCCAAAGTAGCTAGGATCACAGGTGGGAGTCACCAGCGCTTGTCCCATCTTATAAGTTTTAACTTTATCCTTTATTCAAAGTATTCACTCTGATTTCCTTTGGTTAGTGATTATTTAGTCTGATTTTTTTTTTCATGGCTGATTTTTCCTCAAGGAACTGTTTAGGATACAGATCCTGTGCAGTTTGTGTACTTGGTAGTTTAAGAGTATTTCTAGCCAGGAGCCAGTGGCTCATGCCTGTAATCCTAGCTTATCAGGAAGCTGACATCTAAGAATCACGGTTCAAAGCCAAGCCAGGCAAGAAAGTCCATGAGACTCTTATCTCCAATAAACCACCAGAAAACCAGAAGTGGTACTGTGGTTCAAGTGGTGGAATGCTAGCCTTGAGCTGAAGAGCTGAGGAAAAGTGCCCAGGCCCAGAGTTCAAGCTTCATGACAAAAACAAACAAACAAATAAGTACAGAAATAAAATAAGAGAACATATACCTCCTAGAAATACTCTTTTCTTTTTTGTTTCTTTTTTTCTCTTTCTTTTTTTTGTCGGTTGTGGGTCTTGAACTCTGGGCCTCGGCACTGTCCCTCAGCTCTTTAGCTCAAGTCTAGCACTGTACCACTTGAGCCACAGCTCCACTTTCAATTTTCTGGTGGTTTATTGGATGTAAGAGAATCATGGACTTTCCTTCCCAGGCTGGCTTTGAACCACAGTCCTCAGATCTCAGCCTCCTGAATAACTAGGATTACAGGCATGAGCCACCAGCATCTGGCTTCACAGATCTTTTTAAAAGGTCATGCTTCAGTAAAAAGTATCCAGTAGGGTATATAGGAGTCAAAATGATTGCTCCTTCAGGAATGTCATTGAACTTTTTTTTAGGTAATGAGATCATCACTTTTAAACACCTTAGTCTTCATGGAAAGGATGTGCTAAAGAAATACAAAGCATTGTCATTATTAATAAAATGTCATCACATATGTTTACTTGGATTTTCTTTCCTTTTTTTCTGATTTCGTGGGAACATTTTAAAAATGGAAGAGCAATCTCTTACAGGTTTTGTTTTAATCATGAACTAAAGTCTATCTGTCTTGAAGATAGAGTTATCCCCACCTCCTGTCTGTTCTACAGATGTTCCTTCCAGATCAGACAGCTATTCTGATATCCTTAACTTGAGTTGCTGTTAAAGGAAAACTTGACTCTCCCTAGCTCTTTTGCTGAGTGAGAGTTCTTGTAAATAAAATCTAGTGTTCTTATGGGTTGGAATTTTAGGTTCTTGGGAAAAACAGATTTTCTGGTTGAAGAATTAGTCTTCTAAAGGAGGATGAAGTAGAGAATGGAATCTCATGTTCTTGTTTTCATGGCTGGGCCAAAGCAAATGAGGTGGACCAAGGAATAAAGTCTGAGATTGAATAGCCTTGCATGCTTTTACAGGACCAACAAGCCTATGGGTCAAATTTCTAGGTCATTTAATCTGTACTGGTACTCTAGAGGCTTCTTGCCAAGTGAAATATGACTCTTCTGGGGTTAATGCTTCATTCTGGCTTTAAATTTTTTTACCCTCCTACCCCCATCTTCTTTCTAAGTCTTTTCTGTGTTATACTGGTTCCTTGAAGGTAGAGTCATTTCTTCTTTATATGTTTTCCCATCATCCCTGTTGTGTGATGCTTATTAGCATATACTACATGTCAGGTTTTCTTATATTCTTCTGTTGCTCTGTGTGTGTGTGTGTGTGTGTGTGTGTGTATGAGAGAGAGACAAATCTCCATATTTTTCCATTTAAGAAGTTGTGTAACATGCCTATTCTGGCCTGTGTAACTGATACAGAACTCAGCAGTAAGTCTTAGAATTGTTTCAAAATGCTATTGACTCTAGGTAGCTTTTTATCTACAAATATGCTGTTTGGGTGTATTGTTTTGTTTTTGTTAGTCGTGGGGCTTGAACTCAGCTGTCCCTCAGCTCTTCAGCTCAAGGCTAGTGCTCTATCACTTGAGCCAGTGTCACTTCCGTTTTCTGGTGGAGATGAGTCTCATGGATTTTCCTGCCTGGGTTGGCTTTGAACCATGATCCTCAGATCTCAGCCTCCTAAGTAGCTAGGATTATGGGTGTGAGCCACCAGCACCAGGCAGCATTTTTTTTTTTTTGTCTTTTCTTTTTTTGGTACTCGTGACTGAACCCAGGACATTGCACTTGCTAGGCAAGTGCTTTGCCACTGAACTATAGCCCAGCTCCCAATATACTGTTAGGGAAAAAAACACAACAAAAAAACAGATTTTTCATAGCACTGATAGAAATCTAGTTGCTAAGTAAGTTGTTTCTTGTACTCAGGAAACTAAAAATTACATAATAAGCATGAGTGGCACATACCTAACACTTCTATAACTCTGAAACATCAGATTGGCCTGAGGAAGTTGTTTTGAGAAGGGAAAAGTGAACCAGCATCAAAACTCCAAGAAACATATTTTAAAGACTTAGATGTGTAGCCAATGTGACAAGATGAAAAGTATTCGAAGTTACTTGTGATAGAATATTTTATAGTATATTTGATAGTATTTTATAGAAAGGAGACCTGAATAATAGAAGCTTCTGATTTTATTTTGTGAATTTGTTTGATCTAATGAAAATCCTTCTTTCAGGCCTCAAGTTGTAAGGACTCATAAATGAGAGAAGCATGAAATGGAAAGAAGGATGAAAAAGAGCTCTTTAATCAAGTCCTCTGTAGCCTTGGGCAGATTTCTGAAATCTGGGCCTCAGTCATCTCATCTATGAAATGGGTTTAATAAAACCTTACATGCTAATATTAATAATACAATGATTATGATGAGTTTTTATTAAATTTATATTGTGTTTCTTATACTATAATTCATTGAAGCCTAGATATGATGAGCTATTTTACTAAAAATGAGGAAACTGAAGCTTCTGAATGTAAAGGGTAACAGTGCTTCAAGCTTCCACAGCTAATAAGTATCAGAATTTGGAATCAAGCATTGTCTGCAGTATTGAAAAGACCACACTGTTCTCTACTGGCTCCAAGGTACTTTACTGCCTAATTTTGCTCAAGGCCTACTCTAATAACATACTGAGGTCCCTGATAGCTGGAATTTCTACTATTCTTTTTTTTTTTTTTTTTGTTGGTCGTGGGGCTTGAACTCTGGGCCTGGGCACTGTCCCTCAGCTCTTCAGCTCAAGGCAAACGCTCTACCACTTGAGCTGCAGCGCCACTTCCGGTTTTCTGGTGGTTTATTGGAGATAGGAGTCTCATGGTCTCTCTTGCCCGGGCTGGCTTTGAACCGTGATCCTCAGATCTCAGCCTCCTGAGTAGCTAGGATTACAGGCGTGAGCCACCAGCACCCGGCTCTACTATTCTTGAATTCTCCATATGAACTGTACTTCAAGAATTATAGCACTGTCTGAAGACCATGACCTCAGTTCATTGCATTTTAATTGTCTAGCATTGGCTCCTGGGTGGACACAATTAGAGTTGCCTCTAAGTAACAGGGAGCATGATTTTTTAAAAATATGTTCAATATACACTTCTATCTCATAGTTTTAAATTTATGCCTTTTTGAACACTGAAAATGATGGTTGATTTACCATTAAACAGTGAAAAAAGACTATCAGAAATTGTTTCTGGGCAGCTTTTCTACTGATCACCTTCTCTCTTACCTCTCTCCTCTCTTACGCCCTCTCACCTTATAGATTATTCCAGCAAATCTAAGATAAACTATAAAACATAGAAGCTGAGCAGCACTGTGGATGTCTGCTCTGAAGATCGTATTTCTCTGGACACACTGGAAAGAAGGATAGCAAATCCCAAAGGATTTTCTTAAAAGTTATGTGTTAACCTCTACCTCTGAGTGTTGTCCTTCAACCGGGAGAAAGTGAAAGGCATTCATATTTAGAGGTGCTATTCTAAGAACAGACCAAGTCATTGCAGGGTCAGGCCCTCTGCATATGTATATCCAAGAAAACAAAGCTGGAGTAGCTGGGACTTAAGAGACCACAGCTGAATGTGACTAGGTTCTTGTGGTAAGGATAAAATGAGAAATATGGCTTTTAAATCATTGGAAAATAATGATGAGAGAAAAACAAGCTGAAATGGGAGAATTCCTATCAGAGTTGGGAACCATTCTTTGCAGGCTAAATTGGTAGTTTCAATCCTGTGGCATCAGAAAGCTTGACTTCCACATACTAATACTGAAAACAGTAACACTCTGTGGTCTTTGTCTTTGGACCTAGGAGGGAATTTTTATGATCTTTTTGTTTTGTTTTTTAAATGATGTCTTTAGTTGGTGAAGTTTTGATGAAGACTATTTTGGCTATTTTAGCTATAAGAAAAACAAGTACACAGCTTGCCTTCATTGATAGAGGCTTATTTTAAGAATGAAAACAGGACTGCAATCATTTAGCAATTATTTTAGGGCACCTTTGATGTGCCTCTGTGTGCTAGGTAACAGGAATATATCAAGGAACAAGACAAACCAAGGTATCTCGTGAACCTAGTGTTAAAAAAACAAACAGATGGTCAATAAACACAAACTGATAATGATAATAT